GAGAGAGAGAGAGAGAGAGAGAGAGAGAGAGAGAGAGAGAGAGAGAGAGAGAGAGAGAGAGTTTCATTGATAGGATGAGAAACGCACCGGGCAACAGATAAGTCTCAAAACCTGCGGCTGGCCTCCTGCCGCTTAGGGGGGAGGTAGACCGATATGCACTCGGAAAGAAGCGAGAGTGTATATTTCCATGTTGTAGCGAAAGATTCGTTCGATTTTAGTCATTCTATCGATGGAAACATACACAAAATATAATGAAACTCCTGGTACATACACTCATGTGTGTGTGTGTGTGTGTGTGTGTGTGTGTGTGTGTGTGTGTGTGTGTGTGTGTGTACAAGCATTATGCTACCATAGCAACCCAAAGTACGAGAATCCTTACCTGGTCTCATCCTCAGTTATGCTCGCTCCACTATGTGGACACATCAACCTCCCATGAATACGCCATATTCTTCTTTTTGCAGTCAATATAAAGCCAAGGAAAAGAGAAGAGGGGGAAAAAAGGAGGAGAAGGAGGGAGCAATGATGGTATGACCATCATACATTGACCATTTTGCCAATGGAGGAGGGGTGGCGCATCCCCTAAAGCGCTTTTCTTCGCTTGCGCCCGTCACGACTCATCAAAGGGTGGATGTCCCCTGGTTTCCGGTAAGGGGGTGAGAAGGATAAGGAGAGCATGCAAATGGGAGATCAACGTAGTGGCTGGAGAGCTCACCATGTGTTCGTTGATGTCGCCATCAAGGAGGTGCTCTTCCATGGCCGCCATAGTCGCACTCATCGTCCTGATGGCAGGTAGCCTTCAAGCGATCATAGTGTTAGAGAAGAAGAGGGACTTTGTATCTGCCGATCACTCTCTTACCACTGCAGGCCGAGGCACCCGTCGGGGGTGCGAGGTAGAAGTATGAGAAGAAGAGAAGAATTGAGGTCTTCAAGCTGCAACGCTATGGCAAGAGATGTTCCCGCGTTGTAGGGCAACGAAGGAATGAGAGCAGAGTTTGAGGAGGGAGGCCAACAGTGGGTTCGTCCTCTGAGAGATCAAGGATGTTGGGGAACCCACTGGTATATGGGTTTGGTTAAATAGTGGTGGTAAGTCACGGTGGGGAAGTATAAAGTTGTGGGGTTATGATGAAGTCTCATGTTGAGTGTTGGGGGGTAGGTGCACGTGATTGGGTGGTTAGGTATGGGGGGATGTGGCAGTAGATGATGCCTAGGGGGGTGTGGATGTTGGTGAGTTACTAGCGGGGCCATGGTGGGTGTGTTGATGCCTGGTGGGTCGTGGATGGGTGGCGAAGGTTTGTGTAATAAGGAAGAGGTATGAGTGTTTTTTTTTTAAGGGGCTGATCGAGTTCGTATGCGTGAGGGGCTTGTTGCGGTTGGTTTGAGGGAGATGGGTTATGATGGGGGCTTGGTTAAATAGTGGTGGTAAGTCACGGTGGGGAAGTATAAAGTTGTGGGGTTATGATGGAGTCTCATGTTGAGTGTTGGGGGGTAGGGGCATGTGATTCGGTGGTTAGGTATGGGGGGATGTGGCAGTAGATGATGCCTAGTGGGGTGTGGATGTTGGTGAGTTACTAGCGGGGCCATGGTGGGTGTGTTGATGCCTGGTAGGTCGTGGATGGGTGGCAAAGGTTTGTGTAATAAGGAGGTGGTATGAGTGTTTTTTTTTTGAAGGGGCTGATCGAGTTCGTATGCGTGTGGGGCTTGTTGCGGTTGGTTGAGGGAGATGGGTTATTATGGGGGTTTGGGTTGCGTTGTGTACGGGTATGGCGAACTTGGTTGAAGGAGATGAGGTGTACAGGGGAAGGAGTTAGTGGAGGTGTAGCAGTTTTGACGTAGGGGGTAAGGGGGCATCATGATATGCGGTGGGGGGAAAAAAACGTTATGCAACACAAACTTTTGCGGAAGAGTTGAATGGCGTTTGTCACGGTGTGGGGGTTTTGTGGGCATACTTTGTTTTCAGATGTGGCGACGTTGGGGGTTTGTCTTTAGTTTTTTTTGTCATACCGCAGTATCTGATGTTGGGATGTCGTTTTAGGAGGTGTTGCTGCGGTGATATTGCACGCAGACTCATGGGGATGTTCTTATGTTGGAGTGGAGTGGTGTGTAGGCGTGCATATTTTCGTCCTGTAGTGGAAGTGTGTGTGTGTGTGTGTGTGTGTGTGTGTGTGTGTGTGTGTGTGTCA